TAGGATGGAATTTTTCTTAAAGTCTAAAAAGGATTGATCTGTGGCAGGCAAAGGGCTTGGTTCTTGCAGTGTTTCAATCAGATTTTCTGTGTGATTTGTACATGAAAATGTTATCAAAATTTGGAAAGGAGTTAAGAACAGTATTTATCAAAGCTTTATCAGTTTGGATGCTTAGTGTAATTGTGAACTTAGTTACTGCTCTGCTCCAGTTTTACTGTGGAGGAGCATTTGCCAAGGCTGAAAATTAAATTAATCCAACTTTCTCATAAAAACATACTTCAAAAAAGATCATTGACTGTACACTGACCATTCACTAATATACCAATGACTTTCTCATAATTTTTCTTCACATTAACAAAATGAAAGCATTTAAAGACCCATATGAATGTTCACAGTGCACTTGTTGCTAGGCTGTCTACTGGAAGTGTTACTTTCATTTTTGAAGAAGATTAGAAGAAGAGATTAAACTCTTCCTGACATGCTGAAAAATATTCTGTCTTCAAAAATATTCATAGTGAAAGCAGTTGAAATACATAAATGCGTTCTTGTTATTACTTTTATATATATATAAAATTCTTGCCATTGCTGGACAGATGATGCTATGTGACTGAATCTGAAGTTGGGAAGGACAAACTTTTCTCAGTAACTCTTAAGATAGAGAAAGTTTCAGAGCACCTGAAATAATGAAAAAGATTCACTGAATACAAATGACAGCTTTCCTCTTCCTTTATGAAGCACATGCTCATGAATATATACATTTTTGCATATGTAAAAGCTCAAGTGTATCTGCCTTCCGATGAATGAAAGAATAAGGAAATTATGTATTCAGAACTAGCTAGAAGTTTGCTTTTTTTCTTGAATTCTCCAGTTGCTTTCCTGAGATGGAACATTTCTAAGAGGCTGCTAGATTGGAGAAGGGGACACTGTTATCCCCATCTTCCATCTGAAGGTTTTGTCCTATTTTTAAATACCAGTGTTGCTTTTGGTGATACTAACAGCCTTTTGGCAGTTTAGTGCTGTCTGTCTGCACGGTCAGTCCATCTAAAGTAGTGAATCATGAGAAGCTGATCTCCTAAGAGAACTCCCAACAATATTGACAGGCTTGACTGGCATAAAACCAGTCTCTCTCTTTCACCTCCACTAAAATTCTAGAGTAAATTCAGGGCCTGATTGAAGAGAGATAGGGCTTTAGCCATTGACTTCCGTGGGAACAAAATTTGAACACTGGCAACTACTGCCCTCTAGTCCTAAAGCAGCCCTGAATATCTTGGCAAATGCTGTTTAGAAGCACTATCAATTTGATCCCACTTCCTTCTGAGGACTGAAAGCCAAGTTCAGGCCTATTTATGTCTTATTAGCTAGAGCAGGCTTTGAATGGGAACTACAGCAAGCGTTTAAATCTTCTCCTTGAAAAATGTGTTATGGCTTAATGAACCTTGTTCAGGTTAAAGCTGTTATTTATTCTTGATATTTTTATACTGTATTATTTGTTACTGTCAGGTAGAAGTCAAAGAAAGAGCATTGCCTTCTATCTTGAAGAGTTTATCAGGGTGGAATAGACTGAAATTTTTCTCAAGTGAATCAGTTCTCACATTTCTGACAGGAAAATACCAACAGTAGATTTTCCAGATATGCTTGAAAATACCACACATGCTCAAAACTTTGAAGATGTCAAAACCATACAAAACGATGTGCTTATCAGTTCAGAATATGAACATATACAGATATCCAAATTACATTTTCTATTAAGTCAGCAATATAAAAGGTGAGAGAAGAGGCAGGGTCAGAGGCATTTATTTTCAGTCAGTGTGTTCATGCAGAGGAAAAGGAGAAAAGTAAAAATTCAGTCCATAAATTGAAGAATGTCTGTCTGGAATGGAAAAGAGCAAAAGCAGAAAAAATTTCAGACTCCCCTTTTTTCCGTCCTCCCCTTCTGAAGTATTTGGGGGTAAAATATCCCACTTCTGCTGCAATCCTTTGATATTGTTCATGTAATGTTAATATTGTTTGAATAGTTCCTAAATATTTTCTTTTTTGATTAATAACCGTAGTACCTAATAGTGAATTTTTTCATTGTCTGAAGTAAATTTATTATTTTGAAAGCACTTCTGACATTTCATGAAACCATTGAAAAAGAATGCTGCTTAGAAATAGTTTTGCTGACATAGTGGAGTAGGAAATGCTCTTTCTGGTATCTTCCATTATTATGTATTTGATTAGTAAGAATGATGGTACTAATGTCAAATATTTATGTGTATCTGATCTTGCAAAGACTAGAAAATCTTTCTTACAAGGGATTTCAAAGGGACTGAAGTAAACCAGAGATATGAGGAGGTCTATGTACTTAGAGCAACATGTTTGAACTCCTAAGACTCTGTTACACTCTACCTTTTGTCCTGAAAGAAGACAGATTATTAAATTGATTTCTTTATATTTTGAGGTTGGTTACCATAGTTATTTCTGTGTGTAAACCTTTAAGACCTACACTACTGCAGAGCTAATAAGATAATTTTCTGTCTTACTGGATGTAATGTGCTACGTGCCTGTGGTTTTCAAAAAAGAAACACCAACAACCTAAAACCATCTTATCTGGACTCTGTCTTCCTGTCAGAACATTTTCTTTTGATCTTCTTGCTTATGTTAATGTTGAACAACACAGATCAACTATTTTCTAAGAATTCCCCTCAGTTTGCTTGGAGGAATATAACCTCCTGTGCAGGAGTTTGCCTGTGAAAGGCATGGTACCATTCTCCTTTTCCATCTTCTTCCATGCTTCCTGAGAAGTCTGTACAATGTTTTTTTCACATTTTTTCGGGGGTTAGGGTAAAGTTATTTGGCACTTCTGTTCAATTTGAGTCAATTCAGTTTAGGAAGCCCCAAGTTAACAAATAAGAGGTTGTCAGATGGTAATGCTGGATACTGGGAAATCCAGAAATGGCAAGAGCCTTCCTATTTGTGGTTGGCTTATATATAGAGAGGATATGTAGTAAACCAGATAATTTCCTAGCTTGCTGAACCACATCATAGTATATGGGCTAGTACCGCATTTGTACGTTAGCAGATGATCATGGCATGTGTAAATATCCAATGTGCAGATTGTTTTTACATGCTTATCCTAATGGTATTGTATGTTGCTTGATAGTTATTCAGTGCTTAAAACAAAAAGCTTTTGAAGCTTCAGATGTGATGTTTAATAGGTCTTTTTCTAATGCTGTCTTAGCACCTGCTCCTCCCTCACAGTCACATCAAAGTGAATTGTAAGTAACCACTCTGAAATCATGCAGCATCGTGCTGTGGAGTGAAACTGGTGAAGGTGCAGGGCAGTCATCCCTGTAAAATCTCTCCATCTGCAGAAGGAATCTCCATAGCCACCTGGATGCTTTTAAACCTTCATTATTTTAAATTTAAAATGGTTGGCTGAGCATTACTTTGACCAAAATCTGATACAATAATCGAAGTCAGAGGTGGGAGAGGACCTCTGGGGTCACACAGTTGAGCTTTCTGCCAATAATGGATTGTTCCCTGCAGTTCAGTTTCTAGTGACCTTGGAAATTACTAGCCTGGTAAAATGGTAATGAAAAAACAAAGCTGTTAAAGCTTCAGAAGTAGCCAAAGTGATGCTGTCCCATTGAGAAATTGTGGTTTTGATGTGAGATTCTCTGTGTGCATTGCTCTGTGGTTGCAGTTTTCAAGTGATCGTGGTTTTAATCTACACTTTCTGACTCGTTCTGAGCCGGCTGTAACTAAGAGGTTGGGGGAGGTGAGCTTGTTTTGATAGTATTGGAACTTATCTTATCCTTCAACTGTATCATGATTTTTATTACAAATAAATAAGTCGGCAACTTGGCTAACCCCCCTATCGCAACATTTGCTTTGTGTCCCTGCATTTTTATTCTTTCAGCATTTCTGCCCTCCCAGAAACAGGAAATGAGTAGGAAAAAAAAAAAGATATTTTGTGCTTTTTTCCATTGAAACCCCTGGTTAATTAATTAGAGCCTCTACTTGTCATGCCTGGAAACCCAAAAATTCCTGAAAGGATTCAGATAATTTTTAGGTTTCTGTGAACCAAGCCAATATTGGTTTACTTCTCTGTTGATGTAGGCAATAAATGACAGCCCTGACATGTACCTAATGAAGTGGGTAGAATTTGGCCCCTCTTTTAAGAAGGAGGCAGCAAAGGCAAACTCCCACAGGCAAGCTAATTACAGTTTGGACTGAAATATATTTTAAGAGGCTGTTGAAAGCTGGGTAGGTGGGAAGAGATCCCAAGACACAAAGTTCCCTTCCTGTTGTACCCATTTGATGTGTGGTAATTTCTTCACTAGGGGGCCCTATTGTGAGCTGCCTTTTGGGGTGTGCAGCTCTGTGAATATCCTTTCTTCCTGGGACTGCGGCCCCCCGACTATTGTATTCACACACACCAGATCTCAGTTGGAGAGGAAAAGGGTTTTCTCAGCTGCCAACTTGCTTAAAAGAGGAGTTAAGAGGAAAAGAAAGCTAATTGGACTGTGCTTGGCAAAGGTCTCTATTTTATTCTGTTTATTCAGATTTGTAAAGTATTGAGTGCTGAGAAACACAGAAATAGTGAGAACACTTATTCCTTAAACAGATTCTTGCAAAGTTTTTACAATAAAAACAGAAAGCTGCTTTAGTAAAGCAGTGTTTATCCTTGCACTAATGCTGGTCATGAATACGTGTCTAACTTAGCTGGAACTAATGCCTGACTCTACTATTCCACTACAGCAACTTAACATTCTGCGTAGGCTGATTATTTTTTCAACAATATTTGCTAAATTCTTTTAAGGGCTGCCAGTATATATTTTTTGAAGCTTAGTTAATAAGAACAGCTGCCAGTGGAGTCAAGGCTAAAAGAGGCAAAAAATATCTGCAGAAGGCAAGATTTTACTTCAAAGATCAGTATGACAAAGCACTACTGTTGCTGGTATAATCACTTTCTTTGGGGGGGATGCTAATATAGACTGGGTTTCTTGTCTTCACAGCCCCCACTGAGCCTTTGCTGTGCAAATTTGCTGATGGAGGGCAAAAGAAGCGCCAGAATCAAAGCAAATACACACAGAATGGAAGGCCGTGGCCCAGAGAAGGAGAGGTAAGTGCCACGCGGCAATTATTTTCCTGAGGTTTGGCAGAAGTCAGCTGCAGACCTGGAGGTCTATCTTTCAGGGCTATGAAGAAATCAGATTGCACACAAGATACAATAGTTTCACACAGAAAAAGGTATATAAGGAGGGGGGAGAAGAAGGCTTATAATACCGTGCAGAAGAAAAGAGAATTTTAGAGCTTGGTGTCGAGCTGTGTGCAGCCTTTTCCCACTGCAAGCTCTCTGTCTGCAGCCAGGCCTGAGCCCAGTGTTCTCTTACTCGTGTGCCATCTGGACCTGTGGTGTACCTTTTGTAAACCTTAAGTCAATTTACGCTTAAGCAACTCAACAATGTTATTTCGTCCGTATAGTTCCTGGTGATAAAACATTGTCAGGGAATAGGTGGGTTGTTACAAAAGGGAGAGATGCACTTGCACATCCAAATGTATGGTTCATGTAAAAGTTTTTCAAAAGCTTGTCTGAGCTGAGCTTTTCGTTCTGTCCAAGACAAAACTGTTTACAGTAGCCTTGTGTACAACGTTAAAAAAAAAACAACTAATGGTTGCTTTCTGCTCCACTGCACATAGTCTGTTACCGGAGTTTCCTTTCTGTGTACTTGCACATGAAGTGACTCCAAATGTGGGTGAAATAAGAAAGGAATTTATTTTACTCTTCAAGAGTTTTATTTACTCTGCTTGAATGTTATTATGGGATAAAGACACTTGAATAAATGAGGTAGGTCTGGTCATAGTACCTTCTTATACGTGATTATAGCTATGAAAGCTGAAAGACTTACAAGTACTTCTATCCTAAACACCTATTCTTTGTGTTTATGATTTAGACTTCAAGGAAAAAAAACTATGTTGCTCAATTGTGACCCACAAGAATACATGTTGGTGGGGTGTTTTTTTAATTTTTGTTTTGTTTGTTTGTTTGTTTGTTTGGGGGTTTTTTTGGTGGGTTTTGCTGTATTTACTTCAATTTTGCAAAACAAATGAACAAGAAAACTGTTTGGTATTTCTAAGTTACGTGTTTCTAGAGGGTTTCTGCTTTTTTGTAACTACTTGATTTTGCTAGCTGGTATTTTTCAGACCGGTAGCTTATGACATATATACTCTAGGACAATTAGTCAGCTCCTAAAACAAACAGAAAGGCCTCTTGGAGGCATAAAAATTTCTCCCTCCAGCAAAACGGTTATTGTACTGTGTTCCAACAGCAATGCTCCAAAATATTTTTAGCTTTGTGGGCTGAAACTGCCGATGTGGCAGCCACATTTGCTACAAGAGATTGCAGAAGTCTCCAAAGGTTCATTGCAGTCTTTTATGTCGTACGTCTCAAAAAATAGAGGTGTCTTCTTAGGAGCCATTATGGTTTGTCATGTTAAGGATCTGCTGAGGAACAAGTTCCCAAGAAGTACATCAAGCAGTAGACTCAGGTCATCGTATTCAGAGCTTTGAAAAACAAAGGTCTGTATATAGGAGACAATAATAAACCCTCAATAAGGTCAACAATCCATATTTTAAAGACCTCTAAAATCCCTGTTTAAATAATAAGTGCCATCAGAGCTATTATCTCCACTGTTCTGTAATTCCTTCAGTTCAAATCAATAAACAAGAGAATATAAAGTTAAAGCCACCAAGCCACCATTATGCCTATGGCCTCAGGGCATCAGCTTATTATATCGTACATAGTTCATTTGCTGGTAGTAGAGTGGCTCATATATGGCCTAGAGGGAGGGTGTAGTTGGTGTGTTTATATTATCAGCATTTAAAAACTAGTTTTTAGTGCTGGGAGACACATTCCTTATTGTTGTTTGCAGTCAACTACAGAGCTGTTTTCATGGTATAATCTACAAATGTGGGAAGATTATAAAGATAAAACCTCAGAAATATTTCAGGCTAGGAATGTGCTCTGTTTTCTTAGACTCTCTTTGCTCTTCTCTTTTTACTAAAAGCTGGTTAATACCTTGCTGCACATTGGATATTTACTACTGAAAGCATCAAAGACAAGAATGCATGTTCTTTTTTAGGGTCACTCATTTATTGGATTTCTTCCCCACAATTGTTAATTTTCTTCTTTCCAATGTAAAAACCTGCTGTATAAATTACTCTTATATTTTATATGCAATAGAGTTTTTTTTAACTCTTTGTCCTTTAATGATCTTACTGTAAGCATGATGTACCATTCAGTTGTTCTCTGTGTAGCAGCCCTCAGGTAACCTTCCTACAATTACTAGTGTCAACTTTAATTTCTTTGAAAAACAACAGGCAGTGAGTAGCGAGAAATAGTAGATATATGACAACTGTCATAGTTCTGATTATAAATGGGGCCTGGAAATATTCCCTGCACCTCTACTTTTTCTTGGTTTCTTCCCCAAAGCAAAGCATTAAAATAGTGTCCAAGAGATTACTCTCTCAGCATTTCTACGCTGGACAAATCCTGTGGTATCTAGACCAGGATGTGTTTGGCTATTGTTCAGGTAAGCCTGTGCATTCTTGAATACTTACGTGAAGGGCATTTCTAAAACTTCTGAGGTTTAACCAGCATTAACACTGAGCGTGCATGAGGATTACTGCTCGGGAGGGCAGACCCCAGAGAACTGGCACTAACAGTTCTGTCACTGGTCTCAAATTTGAGCATGCAAAGTAGAGACAGGCAGCTGTGCCCAATACTCTGCTGTAGGGGGAAATATCAGGAGATTTAGTGGGGAGGGGCAGGTTTGCTGCAGTGTTACCTTTCTGGCCAAGCTGTTCTCAAAGGTTTTGCTCTCTTTTGTGGAGAGCTTCTGCAGAATTTTATAAGAGAGGATTACTTTTTTTTTGGTGAAGTTTTCAGGCCGTATTGCAGAATGTAATAAAAAATCTTATTCCTGTCATACATTTTTGTAGATTACTTCATAACCATGTAGAAATACTTCAGTTGTTTGTTAAATTGGTTTACCTTTTGAAGTCAAGTCTTTAGGAATACACTGAATTTCTCTAGGGCTTTTTAGGGGGTCTTTTTGGTGCTTGGTTACTTGGCCAGTTGTGACCAGGGAAGAATGCCTGACCTTGAATAGCACTTTGTAGTCCTTACCCTTCCACTCTTGTTTGAAGCCTCAGGAAATACTCAGTAGATTTACTGAGGCATTTGACTGAGGATTTGTGATGGCTGACCGGTTCTGGACTAAGGAGCCAAGAGCTTAGATTACTGATGGCTTTGTAAAAGGCTGTCAAATTAGGCATCTGACATACAGATGCATTAAATATACAGTGAAACCTGCAAATGTTGGAAATATTTGCCGTGAAATTCTGACTTAATAACTATCAAAATTTCTGCACAAAGTTCAATTATTTTTTTTCAGGCTAGTTTTTCTAGAGTCACACTGGTTTAATTCAGCCCTCTGTTTTGAAACTTGCCCTGACAAGATGATATTGAGATGGTGATAGAGACTAATCATATTCAAATTCTGTCTGTAAAATATTTTATTTATCTCTAAATTGGAATTGACAAGTCTAGAGGTGGGTGACATATCTAAACAAAAAATATTCATTAGCTGAAAATGCATCTGGGGAATCAAGAGTAGCTACAAAATGAGATCACAGTGGATTAAAACCTGAAACTTAAATTTTACAGCATAATCTTTTATTGCCGATTCACTGAAACTTTGTTTTATTTATCCAGAAATAAAATCTTTTGATATGTGTATTTAAGAGAGGGTTTATTTGAAATCTATCTGGTAGAAAGGGAGAAATCTCATTTAAACTGAAAACAAATGAAATGCTTTGCATCAGCCCAAAGTTTATTATTGTTTACATTCCTCTAGAAAGAACAGTTCTAGAAATGGTAGACTTTCTATACGTGGTCAGCCCAAAATGATTTTTTTTTTTTTCCATAGTCATGGTATATTGAAACCTTTTATACTTCATTTGCAAGTTTAAAATTTAGACCATTTAAATATTTGTGTTGTCTTTATTGCAAGAGAATATCACCATTACAGTATTGGTACATATATCACAACAGCAACATGCACCGCTGAATGAGACCCCCTCTTGTCATTGAATTTGGTCTGATGTCTATAATGATATTTAGTAATTGCCACCAATAATTCTTCTATTGATTGCTTTCTTCCTTCTGTAATCTGGGTTACATTTTTGTTTCTAAAGCTGAGAGGTTAACTTCCTTTTTCTCCCCTTCCCTCGTTTCCTCCTCTCCTTCTTTCTCCTTTATTTTCTTTCAAGATCAGTTGGTAAATGTCTAAAGAATTAAATATGGTTTTAATTCTTTCTTAAAAAAATAAGATGACTTAGTACTTTGGGAATGTTGCTTTTGTTAACAGTTTATCTTTTTATCTGCTATTCATTACAATTTTGTCTAATGCAAACAGTAATTTAGAGAGAAAAACATACAATAGGTAATTTGAGAGACTTCCCAAATTTTTGTGAAATCAGTACCAGCGAAGGGCTGAAGCAGTTGATCCTTGTGCCAGTCGTCCCTTCTTTACCAGCAGTGGGCATTTAGAAATTATTAGTTCTGTGCCAGGCCCATGTATAACTTGGACATAGATCTCTTCTTATGCTTCCAAGGAGATAGGTACTACTCATTTGTGTTCCATAATCGTCAGTGTCTAGGGCTGATGTACCTTATACCTAGACAAATCTTTTTTTCTTTTCTGTGGGAGACAATTTCCAGGCGTGTCCAGATATGCAGTAGAACCCTCATATGCAAACCACACACAAAGACATTTACTATATATTTAGCGTGCATATCGTTAGACATTGGTCAGTATTTTGCATGCTTACTTTCAGCAAAAGCTTAGTTTAGCAAAGAGAGGAATTGAACTTGAAGAGAAGCCTACACAGAGGGAGAAAGTAGAAGGGCAAAAGTAACAGTCATGTAAATGAAAAGACACAGAGCAATGAGTTAAAAATTCTTCATGACACAAGATGTTGTCGTTGTGGGCAACGTTTTGAAAAGGTGCCTACATGGCAAAAATACCAAAGACCAGTTTAAATGGTTGTATTTTGAGC